GAGAAGGAGGTCTTTAGATACTCATTGGATCACCTTATTGTTTCATTCCCCTGGGTGGATTAGTCTCCATGGGGTTGGGTGCAGAGCTGGGAGATCCCACCACTAGAATGCTATAGACCTTCAGCAACGCAAACAGCCACCAATAACTAAGGGGGATATTCACAAGGCAGCCGAGGGAATAACCCAGCCGAAGTGAAGTGAGCTGAACGCTGTTCGGCTATTCACTTCTGGCTCGTACGGCTGCCTTCTGAGCCGACGTGCAGAAGGATCGGCTGAGCTACGTTACGTTAAGACGCACACAAACACGGAAGCCAAAAGCGTGGAACACTTTGCAAAATTTGCTACATAAACTCAATGGGTACGCGCAGCAAATGCAGCATAGGAGCGTGCGAGCATGATGTGTGTTCCTGAAACTCGCAGGAGGGAATGCAGGCTGAGACATTTTAACCTGGGGCTGGACAAATCGCAGATGGGCATTGCACCTACCTAGGGCATACAGGGATGAGGGTGGGCAGATGGCGCAAGGATTCCCTGCTCGTCTCTGGATATTGATCAGCACGCTGCCCAGTTATCACGGGAACCCCAAGGTGGTTACTGTACAACACAGGCACATACTAATATCAAAACCACCACCACCCATAAATTACAGGTTTGTGGGTAAGTTTGCTAGTGACACCTCTAGTCTGTACGTTTTCTCTTAGACTGGCATGCAGACTTCACATACCACACTCACTGCTCTCACCAGCAGGTTAGCTAAACCGGATAATACTTGTAGAGTTAACATGAGCACTCAGTCCCATGCAATACTTCTGGCTGCCACTGGAGGGAGACTCACCCATATCTAGCTGGCTGGACACACACAGACGGATGCAAATCTTGCATACAATCTGGTGTACTCTAATGCTTGTATGATGTTCACACGCCACCACTATCCTGTGAGCTGGAATCCAGTGCCCACACACACGCAACATACAGATCCCTTTCCCAGTGCCCACATACACGCAGATCCTTGTCTGGCAATGAGATTTGTCCCTGCCTATGAGAACGTCTATACACTGGTACTTATTTACATGCATCAGATTGTTCATCTTGTTCTCATTCAGCCAGCACTGCAATACAAGGAATACGAAGGCACCACCACACGATGCAATGTAATGACCTACATCCTAGCTGATAGGCACTGATAATATAATACAGATACACCCATAACAGTCACCCAACAATCTCTTACAGAATTTTTTTTTAATTAATCCTTGCAATGGTGCTACCCCCACGCACTGCAAGTGTTAACTTTGTTTTTGTCTAGGTTCCCCAAAAAACAAAGTAATACTCACCTGATCCTCGTAGCCAGCTTGTTCTTAGACCGTTCCCTGGAGCCTCTCTTCCCCCTCCTCTGCAGCGGTCTAAGGTCCCGTAACTCATCACATCTATACAGAGTATATAGACTTGAGGACGCTAAGGAAGATTCTGATGCTGCAGTGTAGGAGGGGGTTGGTGGCTGGTAGCCCCACTGCAAGGGTTGAAACAAGTTTTTCTGGAGTCCTTCTTTTAAGATTCTTTTGCGCTTTGCGTTTAAAAAAAAAAAAAAACTAATTCACTTCCATGTTTAATATCCCTAAGTGGGCAGTGCATAGAACAGTTTCGGTTACACAAAAATGACAAAAACAGAAGTGAGACCTACATACAAGCAAAGCGTAATAAAATAAAAGGGATCCACTTACAACAAAAATGACTCCTACTGCTTCTGGGGTTGGAAAGAAGATGTTGAGTTTTACACACATACATCAATGGGACTTCATTGTTATACTTCACAGAGCAAAGCGAGTTTTCTTCCACTTCAGACTATCCAATGGAATGAGCCTAATGGAAGGAAAATGTGTACTAAAGGCCCCTCCCCCCCTCACAGACAAACACACATCAATGGGACCCCTAAAGTAAGGCCAAGACTTGATTTCAGATCTCCATTGTTATATCTTACAAAGCCAAGGGAGTTGCCACCCACTTCGGATTATCGAATTGGGAGGGGGGTGCAAGAAACCATGGACCATACCGCCCCCCCTCTTACTTTAATTGGACCCCTGCAGTATGACCAAGATTTGATTTCCGATCTCCATCGTTATACCTTACATATAAAAGGGAGTGGTCATCCACGTCAGACTATCCAATTGGATGAATTAATTGTAAAAAAAATGTGGACCATACCCCCACACTAATGGGACCTCTGAAGCATGACCAAGTGTTGATTTCAGAGCTCCATTGTTATACCTTACAAAGCCAAGGGAGTTGCCACCTACTTCAGACTATCGAATTGGAGGGGTGCAAGGGAAAGAAACCATGGACCATCCCCCCCTTACATCAATTGCACCCCTGCAGTATGACCAAGAGTTGATCTCAGATCTCCATTATCACACC